AGAGAAGGTAAAGATGCTTTAAGTAGCATGCAGTAATTTGAAGCACTGACTACCTCATAAAACAGGAGCTAGTTAAGAGTGATTTTGGTTTTTCATGGTAATGAAAATTTTACCACATAACAATTTGTCATTGTTTGTATTATTAGGCTGTATACGGAAGTTTAAATGCTGTAGAGGCAGTATGGAAAGCACTAAAGGAAGAATCTGGTGGAACCTTCGAAAAACCTGCTACAAGATAGTAGAACACAACTGGTTTGAAACATTCATTGTCTTCATGATTCTTCTCAGTAGTGGTGCTCTGGTAAGTAGAGCTTGCACCCATAGAAACAGTACTGATAAAAAATCTTTTGTCAAAGATAGTGTTATAACACATCTGTGTTCAGTAAGAAAAAAAAAAACAAACAAGGTTGGCTTGTGTCGTCGTTTAACCACGGCTGGCAACTAAGTGCCTCACAGCCACTTGCTCACTCGCCCCACAATGGGACGGGGAAGAGAATCAGAAGAGTAAAAGTGAGAAAGCTCGTGGGTTGAGATAAATACAGTTTAACAGGGAAAGCAAAAGCCGCACACACAAACAAAGCAAAGCAAGGAATTCATTCACCACTTCCCATGGGCAGGCAGGTGTGCAGCCATCTCCAGGAAAGCAGGGCTCCATCATGCGTAATGGTTACTTGGGAAGACAAGTGCCATCTCTCCGAACATCCCGCCTTTCTTCTTATTATTCCCCAGCTTATATACTGAGCATGATGTCATATGGTATGGAATACCCCTTTGACCAGTTTGGGTCAGCTGTCCTGGCTGTATCCCCTCCCAGCTTCTTGTGTACCTGGCAGAGCTGAGAAGTCCTTGGCCAGTCTAAGCACTACCCAGCACCAACCAAAACATCAGTGTGTTATCAACATTCTTCTAGTACTAAGTCCAAAACACAGCACTATACCAGCTACTAGGAAGAAAATTAACTCTGTCCCAAACAAAACCAGGACAGCATGAAAGAGAGCTTGAAACTAAATTCCCAGAATATTTTGGGTAGCGCATGTAAAATAATTACTTCAAATTTTGCTGTTGAATAACATTCTGCAGATGAATTTTTGATAGATACAAGGTGATATGTGTGTGTGAGGTTGCTTATGAAAAGAATTACACTAAAAATCTTGTTTAAGAAATTATGAGAATCATACAATTGGGTTGTATGCAATAATTGGAAAAGTTATTCTACTTTAAATTAAAATTGTCTCCAAAAGCAGTACAGTTACCGAATTCATCATGTTCTCAGTTAATATTTTGCTTTAGTTTTAGTTTCAGTATTTCTAGACTGTTGCACAGAAATCCTTGAATTCCTTTATACAATTCTTAGTGACATTTAGTTCTTCACACAGCTACTAAGTATTGGGTTCTCTTTGATTGTTGATTGACATAGGATTTGGTATATACTGTCATTATCTCTGCTCTGGCATCTGAAGCACCATGTCCCTTCCTTCTTCTCTGACCTTGGTGTTTGCAGGGTAGTTTCTCTCACTTTTTTTCTTCAGTCCTCATACTGCTGTGCAGTGTTTTGCCCTTTCTTAAGTATGTTTTCCTGGAGGTGCCACCAGCTTCACTGATGGGCTCAGCTGGTTCCTGTGGTGGGTCCATTGCGGAGCTGGCACAGGGCAGCCCCTGGCTTCTTCTCACAGTGGCCACCCCTGCAGCCTCCTGCTACCAAAACCTTGCCACCAACACCTAATATTGGAATTCAGAAAAGGTCAGCAGCAACATAATATTTGGTCACTGTAGCTCATTATTCTCTTTTGTTAGTTGAATTTATTATAATCAGGAGACTGCCTTCTGACTGAGCCTGACAGGGCTTTTCAGGGTGACAAATTGTAATTCTGTGTTGGCTATTACTGAAATTTCTAAAAACCCTTTTGGCAACTTCAGTCATTATATTGTAATTCCATTATCAGGCAATCATAAAATCTTAAACTCAGAAATAATGCAATTGTGATCTATGTTCATGCTGGCTTTTCAAGGTAAAACATCTAAAGTTGAAAGTGATTATACTTTGCCATTTTTAATTCAGTTATTTTGGTTTAATTTGCAAAGACCTATGAATATCTGACTTACATGCCACCCATTCTTCACAGGCTTTTGAAGATATATATATTGAACAGCGCAAGACTATAAAAATCATACTGGAATATGCTGATAAAATCTTCACTTACATCTTTATTCTGGAAATGGTGCTAAAATGGGTGGCCTATGGTTTCCAAACTTATTTCACTAATGCTTGGTGCTGGCTGGACTTCCTGATTGTTGATGTAGGTACTATACTTCCTAAGTAGACTATTTCTGTTGTTTAGGCAGATCCTTTTATGTAACTCCAATCTGATACATATATATACAGTGAAGAACATAAATTGGGTTTAAAAGAACAGAAAATTAAATACCCGTGAATAAGATTCTATTCTAATTATTCAATGAGTATCTAAATCTGCCTTTATATTTGTGCTATCATTGACTCCACATATTCTGTATGGGTTTTACTGGGTCCTAATCACTGAGTGAGAAATGTGAGCTGTTGGACTTCAGTCTTCTGGATTTGGTGACAGAGAACAAGGAGGAAGCAGACACAGAAAGGGAAATTTAAATGAGCACATGAAGTTGGGATAGGAAAGTTGATCCTGGGCTTAATGAGTCACTGGGAAAGAACTGCAGGGGAGAATGGTGTCAGGAAATCAAGAAGACTGCAAAAGAAGAGGGAGTAGGGGCAAGGAGGCAGCCATTGGGGTAAAGAGAAGGATTGAGAAAAACAAAAAGTGATGACCTGTGGATCAATATGAAAAGGTGGGAATCATTCATTCACGATCCTCTTTTTGATTGTCATGGCATTCACTGTGTACTAGGCAGCAAGGTTAACTTCAGTGCAACTCTTCCACTTTTCATTGACACATGACTTTCTAAAGATTCTTTTTTGGAAGCTGAAATTATTTTGGTTTTGTTGGCTCTGTGTCCAATCATAGAGAGTGATTCTTGTTGCCTCTCTGAATTCTGAGTTCTTAGAAACAAAGCCAGGTTTTACATGGCAGAATTAATGTTTGTCAACAATGATAATAAAAAGTAGTGTGGAAATTGCACTCCAATGAAATTAATGAAATTAGTGACATTGCATTGTATGTTCTTATAGAGGAGCTCTTTCTCTCTGCAGACATTTGAGTGGAAATTCAACAAATGGACAGGGGTCTGTTAATCAAATGGAATATGGAATCTAGGACAGAAATTTTGTCCCCTACCAATAGAGTTGAAACCTACCTAATGCTCTTTCTTTAAATCCTTTTTTGGAGGGAAAGTCACAAGTAGTGTTTGTTATCTGTCTTCCTCACTAAACTGTGCTTCTTTTTAGCCTGTTTGCTCTGAATGGGGATTCTGCTCTCCCACCCCATAACTGATGCTAACTCAGTGAAATGAGATAACATGTTTTCTGTGGGAAATGCAGTTTTTAGCTTTCTTCTTTCATGTCCTCTCCATTCCTTCTGTTGGGAACACCCAATATATACTTATACAAAGTATAAAGTCAACATGTGTTCCCAGAACAGATGTATTGATCTCTAAGAAACTTAGTAAGTATAAGAAGTTCTCACCTTTCCTTAAGATTAAATGCTGAAAAACAAGATACCTTCAACAAGGCAAAGGAAAAAAAAGTTAAGACTGTCTTTGAGTGAGGCTGAATATATATACATCTATTTTTTTTATATTCTCTTTCTTTATAAATGCCATAGACTTCTGGTGTTTGGGTTTTTTTTATTGTAACTCAAATGTTAAATGAAAAAGTATGACAATTTTTTAATTAGTGGGAAATCAGCAGCAGTCAACCACATGGATTTTGTCATCTTTACATATAATTGTTGATGCCATGCTTTAGTCTCATTTCCTGTTAGGATTCCAAGTCAGTATATTTCCAGAACCTTGTGATACTTAAATATGCATTTCTGTTTGTCCATTAGAGTTGTCATTTGTGAAAAGGAAAGAACACTTCAAATTAATAAATAAATGTATTACTATTTAAGAAGTACTCGGAATTAGAATCTTTGTGCAAGCCTTTATTGTGAAAGGCTGATCTTGAATTGTGTTTAAGATGAATTCTTCTTAGTAAAGCATACTGTATCTCCATATGGATAGGTATGGTTTATTCTTCTTTCAGTGATTTCAGTGCTTTCCTGTAGCCATCTTCATATCTTGCTTGGAATGCTTACCTCTTATGACCCTATAGTGGCAGATCATAGAATAATTTAGGTTGGAAGGCACCTCTGGAGATTTTCTGGTCTAGCTCCTTGCTGAAAGTGGGGCCACCTTAGAAATTAGCTCTAACCTCAAGGTTAGATTAGGTTGCTCAAAGTGATATCCAGTTTTGAATGGAGATTCTGCCACCTTACTTGGCAATCTGTTTCCAGTGTTTGACCACCTGTATTGTAAACCCGTTTCTCCCCCTCCCCTGACCAACCCCCTGAAAAAGTCAGTGGTGATCTGCTTAGCTTTTTCTGACTTTATTGCCAGTTTTACTTGTTACTGTTTTCAACCAGTAGCGAGCAACTTTTAACTCTTTCTCTTACTGCTGGCATTTTACCTGTAGGTTTAGGTAACAGGCAGTTAGCTGTCAGTGTGCTGCTGATAGTTTGAATCCATATTTGCTTTATCTTTCTGTCCTATTCCTTTATTCAGCTAAACATTGAACAAATTTGCCATACCAGTACCAGTCTAATTAAGCATTTCACAGTGAGGCAACATCTTACAGGATCTTTTTAGGCAAACTGTTCTACACCTATTGGTCCAAACTCTCCAGCTGTCCCCTGTTTGGGAAAGAACTTACAGCATGCAGAAAGAAATTCTTACCTGTTGTGATGTTCACAGTGTTTCCAGAAAAGGATGACTAGCCCCAAAACAAGTACAAATGCTGGTTTTGCTCATCTTTCCATGTGCAAGTTCAAAGGATATAATGAAAAAGAATAAACATGGGATTGTGTAGTGTTTAACAGCTTGCTTGAACTACCCTTAGAGGAAAGAAATCTGCACAAGGCATCCTCGTGTAAATGCAACAGGAGAGTGCCATCTGGAGTAAAGGACCTGGTGAGGACACAATTCATTGACTCTCACCAGAAAACAACAGGACAATCAGCTTTTGAACTGTTAATCCAGTGGTACTGAAGGTTTCAAAAATTCATGTGGATTAGACTCTGTCTTCCACAAGAGTAATAAAGTTAAAAGAGGAAATAAATCTCAAGGCACATTAATTGTCCAAAACACAAGCAATTTAACAAATCCAAAGTAAGATTTTTCTACCTTATGTTAACAATGTGCTTTTCTGCAAATGCCCTATTTGGTAGTTACAAGAACAGAAAGTTGAAATTAAGATGAGGATGGATTATGTCTCACATCTATCACTACAGTATGTTTTTTACATTTCCCCTTCTGTTTTTTACAATACACCTTTTGAATTTACTGTATTGGTGAAAGTATATAATAATATTTTCTAATTTTACATCACAGAAATGTTACAGTTAGCACTTTTATATGTTGAAGAAAGGCCAGATCTGGTATCAGGAGTTGTCCAAACTATGATTGTACATAAGGAAGAGGAGGAAATTATTTATTTACAAAAAAAAAAAGAAGAAAAGGTGCTTGCATGCACATGCGAACACATCCATGAGTGGTACAAAAAAAATTAAGCTTTAATTGCCATTAGCACCATCTGTTGAGATGAACTATCCTCCTTCTCCTTTCTCTCCTCCAAAAAGGAAAGTAGAAAAAAGCAATATTTAAATTGTATTTTGGTTTCCAAACAAAGATAAAATTACATCATCATTAAGTGAGATGCGATAATCTTGCAGGAAAAGGTTTTCTTGCAATGCAGATATAACACCTGCATGATCTAAGAAAATATAATTATCTGACAGGAATAATTGAAACAGATTTTCTCTATATCTTCTCCAGAGTTATAAAAATAATGCATAATGATCTTAAGTTCTTGATGGATTCATATGGATTAATGCTTTCTTTGCTAAATGTTTGTTTAGCATTTGAATTTAAAGAAGGAACAGTCTTCTGAAACAGTATTATAGTTGAGTTTGTATAGGAAATCAGATTGATGGCATAAAAGAAGGTCATTCTGCTTAGTGAATGTGTTCTTTCCTAAATCTTCTCCTAGTTTTCTTTTTCCCCTTTTTAAATGAAATCATCTTCTCTTTAACTACATGGCCTAATTATAGTTACTTCAGCAGCTGAATTATCTAAAGTTTTAGATGGGTTATTTCATAAATACAGGCACAGAGTCATCCATGATAAAGCATGGTAGTGATCACTGACTTGTATTTCATATATTGCACAGATTTTGAGTTCCCTGAGTTAATTTGATTTTATCTAGTTGGTATGATTTACATAAAGCATTGTATCTTGATTTTTAAAATCACTGCTGATTTTATTAAAACATTGCATGCTATGTTAAAAAGACATAAAGAAATAGCCAATTTTTCCTGTTTGTTCCTACTAGAAGCTTAGGGTCCTTATGAACTTTTTTATGATATCCAGATCAAAGTTTTCTTCCTCCAGGCATTATATTTGTATTTTGAGGCTATTAAAAAAAAAAAGAATCTTTTGTTTTGTTTTGTTTCCTCTAGGTCTCCTTGGTCAGCTTAGTAGCTCATGCCCTTGGTTTCTCAGATCTCAGTGCAATTAAATCCCTGCGAACACTAAGAGCTTTGAGACCTCTAAGAGCTTTGTCACGCTTTGAAGGCATGAGGGTAAGGAAAAAAGAAATAGTCTGTAAAACAAATCCATAAAAATATGCCTAATTATAAAACCATGGAGGAACACTGAACTGCATGTCTGCTTTCAAGACCAAGAGTAGCATGTTTGGTTGTCTTACGTGTGTTATTTGTTTTCTGTTGGCATTACTTCAATGTGTTTTAATGTTTTACATTAAATCATTTGCTATATTTGAAAAAAATAATCTTTTTATTGCTCGGCATACTATTTTTAAAAAGTTTTTTTTCCTGTGTTTTTTTACTAGGTGGTTGTGAATGCTCTTACTGGAGCAATCCCATCCATTATGAATGTACTTCTGGTTTGTCTTACATTTTGGCTAATTTTCAGCATCATGGGAGTAAATTTGTTTGCTGGCAAGTTCTATCGCTGCGTTAACACCACAACTGATGAGCGATTCCCACCAGAGGTTGTCAGTAATGTAACCGAGTGTGAAAATCTTAAAATGACTTCTGTGGATGTTCGGTGGAAAAATGTGAAAGTAAACTTTGATAATGTTGGAGCTGGTTATCTTTCTCTGCTTCAAGTAGTAAGTGTATAAATTGTGGTAAATTAATTTTTCAACTTTTAAGTTTTGTAGCAGTAACATTTAATTCCATAATTTTCAGTGTTATTTTATAATATGTGGATGAATATGGGATTTGGTTTTATGATCGTGTTCTATGAAGCTAATGAATATTGTTTATGGTAAAAATCTGATACATCCTGTGGCCATTTTGGAAGAGGAGGAACATCTAATATCTACTACATTGATATAAAGTTCCTTTGCACCCAACCACTAGAACCGTTTCAAGTTCTACAGAAGTACGGTATCTAGTTAAAAAAAAAAATGCAGCTAGGATAAAATTTACTTTATTGACTTGATCTGTTAAGTAATGTTGACTTAGATTTTTATGATGGTAGTCAAATAGATACATTCTAGGGCTCATCTGATCTTCAGTCAAGAAGAGAGCCAACTACTGATTTAGAAAAAGTTTTCAAATTCAATTTTCCTTTCTCTTCCTTCCCTTTTTATTATTACTACTAGTCCCACTCTAGTCATTGCCTGCTATTGTCAAGTGGGGTTTTTGGAGATAGTTTTTAACTTGTTTTTAAACTCTAGATGAGCAGTTGAAGAATTTACTAGTGCTAGATTTCCAAGTACAAGCACCTGTAAACTGGAGCCAATAAAACAAAACCATATATTCTTAGTCGGGTTCACTAGACAAACTGCTTCTGGGAAGCTCATAAGAACAAATTATTCTGGCTTTAAAAATCTCAAACTTATAGTAGTTAGTAGTTAGTATTGTGCTAGCAGGCTACCATCTGATTGCTCCAGGGAGTAACAGTAGCTATTGCTAAATAGTCCTAGGCAAGTGCATAATTGCATAAATTACCAGTGTAGAGGACAGCAGTGCTTTTAGCTTTTGTAACATATCTTGCATAGGGTGGTTCAGCTATGCGATGTTTCCAGTAAACATACCGTTCATACCTTGATTTTACTTAATATTGTAGCTCACAGGAGTAGGTTTGATGGAAGGCCCACTAGATGGATAAGGAATTGGGTGGATTTCTGTGTCCAAAGACTTACAGTCAGTGACTGAATGTCCAAGTGGAAGCCAGTAACAAGTGGTGTCTCTCAAAGGTCTGCAGTGGGGCCAATATTAATTAATAGCTTCATCAATGACATGGTGAGACTGAGCGCACCCTCAGCAATTTTCAGATTACACCAATCCGAGCAGTGCAGTCGATATGCTTAGAGGGATGGGATGCCATCCTGAGGGACCTTGGAAGGCTTAAGGACTGAGGCCATGTGAATCTCATGAAGTTCAACAAGACCATGTGCAAAGTCCTGCACCTGGGCCAGGGCAATCCCAGTATTATGAGTCTATATGGATAAGGAATTGGTTGGATGGTTACATCCAGAGGGTAGTGGTAAATGGCTCGATGTCCGGATGGAGACCGGTGACAAGTGGTGTCCCTCAGGGGTACTGGGACTGGTGCTGTTTAATATATTCACCAATGACATAGACAGCGAGATTGAGTGTACCCTCAGCAAGTTTGCAGATGACACCAACCTGAGTGGTGCAGTTGACACACCAGAAGGATGGGATGTCATCCAAAGAGACATGGACAAGCTAGAGAGGTGGGCCTGTGTGAACCTCATGAGGTTCGACAAGACCAAGTGCAAGGTCCTGCACCTGGGTTGGGGTAACCCCCGGTATCAGTACAGGCCAGGGGAAGAAAGGATCGAGAGCAGCCCTGCTGAGCGGGCCTTGGGGGTACTGGTGGATGAAAAGCTGGACATGAGCTGGCAATGTGCACTGGCAGCCCAGAAGGCCAACCATACCCTGGGCTGCATCAAGATTTTTTTACAAAAATGATCCGAGGGCTGGAGCACCTCCTATGAGGACAGACTGAGAGAGTTGGGCTTGTTCAGCCTGGAGAAGAGAAAGCTACAGGGAGACCTTATTGTGGCCTTTCAGTACGTAAAGGGAGCCTATAGGAAAGACGGGAACAATCTTTTTAGCAGGGCCAGCTGTGACAGGACAAGGGGTAATGTTTTTAAACTAAAACAGGGTAGGTTTAGGCTGGATATGAAGAAGAAATTCTTTACAATGAGGGTAATGAAATACTGGAACAGGTTGCCCAGAGAGGTAGTGGAGGCCCCATCCCTGGAAACGTTCAAGACCAGGTTGGACAGGGCTCTGAGCAACCTGATCTAGTTAGCGGTGTCCCTGCTCACTGCAGGGAGGTTGGACTAGATGACCTCTAGGGGTCCCTTCCAACCCAAAACATTCTATGGTTCTGTGATGCTGTAATCAGTACAGACTGGAAGATGAAAGGACTGAGAGCAGCCCTGCAGAGAAGGACTTGGGGATACTGGTGGACAAAAAATTGGACATGAGCCAGCAATGTGTGCTTGCAGCCAGTCATATCCTGGGCTGCATAACAAGAAGTGTGGCCAACAAATAGAGAGAGATGATGCTCCCCACCCACTCCACTCTCATGAGACCCCACCAGTACAAGAAAGACATGGGCGTCTTAGAGTGGGTCCAGAGGAGGGTCAAGAAAAAGATCAGAGGGCTGGAGCACCTTTCCTATGAAGAAAGGCTGAGAGTTGGGCTCATTCGGCCTGGAGAAGAGAAGGCTCCAGGGTGACCTTATTGTGGCCTTTCAATATATAAAGGGGGCTTATAAGTAAGATGGAGAGAAAATTTTTCACAAGGCCTGTAGTGACAGAACAAGGGGCAACAGTTTTAAACTAAAAGAGGGTAGATTTAGACTGGATGTAAGGTAGATTTTTTTTTTTAATGATAAGGTGGTAAGACACTGGAACAGGTTGCCCAGAGAAGTTGTGGATGCCCCGTCATTGAAACTGTGTGATGTAATGAAAGATGTCCCTGCCCATAACAGAGGCGTTGGACTAGATAGTCGCAAAAGGTCCCTTCCAAGTCAAGCCATTATATGATTCTATTATTTTCATAAGATTTCTTGGGACTACTTATCTTTTGGAGTTTCTTCTAAGACTATTTGTATATTCTGTCTGAAAAATGCCAATGCATGGTGGCTGATTTTTGGAATCCTCTTCTAGTTTTCTGGTAGTCAGAAAGTTGAAACAGAGCCTTGTTATAAATGGCAGTCTTTCTCTTATGCTTAGGTATTGATGGCAACTCATCCCACATAGAGTTTATATGAATTTGAATGAAGGTTAGAATTTATTCAGTGTTTAAGTATTAGGGAGAAGTATTCCACTCGTGTCTTACCAGACTTTTAATATTCTTCTTTATTTTTGTGGGTGCAAATACGTTGCTCAAGACAGTGTCTTATTTAGAATGTTTACAAATTGGAACTTTGATAGAAAATATTAACAAACTTTATTTTTAGGCAACGTTTAAAGGATGGACGGACATCATGTATGCTGCGGTTGATTCTAGAGAAGTGAGTGCAATACATATAAAATTTACTGAGTGATTGATATAATCTGTCCTGAATGGAAGCTGAAATAAAGTAAAATATAAGGAATAAAAATGTAAAAAAAACTTGATAAATTTTCTATATAAACCTATGCACTATCAAGTGGGTAAGTGCATGTAATTTTAATAGGTAAAAAAAATTATAGCAGTAGATCTACATAAAGTATTACTAATTTAATCAGTCATCTGTAAATAATAAAACTAATGAAATCTTGGGGTTTTATTAATTTGTGTCACTGAGACTGTACAGATTAGGAAACAAGTTTTTCATGTGTCTCCAAAAATAACCCAAATAATCAAGTGACATCACCTGCAATAGTTAATCCGGAGCTGTAGACTCTGGCAATGTCAAAGAATAAAATGGCTGCATTTTGACTGTTTTTCTGTTAATGCTGGTATTTGTTTGCATCTTTCCTCTATCAGCTCCCAATTTGCATGAAGTCCTTAGGAACTGAATTGCTTTTGAGATTTGCAACTTCTATCACATTTAGTAGGACTTACATGAAAAATCAAATATCCTTAGAGAGGAACTGACAGAGAGGGGAGGAATGGCCAGTCTGTGTGTGTAATTACAGACACCTGTATTAAACAGATTTTCAAGTTGAAAGATAAGGCCAGTGTAGGATTTGCTCCAAAACAGCTGTTTTTCCCCCCTTGTCAAGGAGTTGCTGTCCAGCTGGATGCAACTTCTGTTTCTGCTCTGTATTCTGTCATTTGTCTTAACCGTTATTTGTGATGTATTGCTGTTTTTTCTATGTTACATAGACAGGGAAACAGCCCAAGTATGAGGACAACCTGTACATGTATATTTACTTTGTTGCCTTTATCATCTTTGGATCATTTTTCACCCTAAACTTATTCATTGGTGTCATCATAGATAACTTCAACCAACAAAAAAAGAAGATAAGTATCCCATGTTTCATTTCCACAACACTTCATTGTTACTGAACATTCAGCAAATGTGTGCCAGGATAAATATGAGTGTCTGAAATTCATCATAGTAATAGAAAGAAAAAAAGTAATCAGCTATTAAGATTTCCTTTTATTCTATTCAAAATAATGAAATAATAGTCTTTGCTTTTCAAGGCGTTTGGAGTAATTTAAACTCACACTGAGTGCCTGAGGGTTCTCCATATCCTTGTACAGCCCAATGATATGCTGTACAACAGAAAGTTGTGTATTGTTTTTCCCTTACCCTCACAGTGCTGTGACAAATCTATGTGAAAATGCAGATTACTTAATTCAAGTAATTAGACAGAGAAGAAGAGAATATGCAAAACTACAAATATCAAAATTGATAAACAGATAATATAGAGCAGTACTGTGAAGGCCTCAATTACAAAGGGGCTAATACAGACAAGCTGAATGCTGGAACTACTGCTCTGTACTGTAAGATTAGAGAAGGTTGGGAAACTGTCTCATGAGTTAGTGAATTTGAGAAAGAAAGAAAATTGTTGACATTTGAAAATGTGTAGTTTTTTTCTTTTTAGCTGAAATGGTTTCTATTATTCAAATGAACACAGGATTGTGTCAAGAACTCCAGGAGCATTTAAATAGATGAAAATGCAGACTACGATGGCTAATTAAATTCTACTTTCTATTTAAACTGTAAAAGCTGTCTAAGGTCTACAGTAGTCTGTACACATTTTTCTGTACACATTTGGAGCATAATGGAATATTGATTTTTAAAAAAAGTGAGCTAAGTAATGGCAAGGCAGTACATAATTTCTTAATTTTGATTCTAGATGGTTTGTCAAGTTTGATTCATTGTACTGAAAAACGGTATTGCTAGACTTACTGCAGTGGAAACCTCCAGTAAATCTTTCCACTTGAGATCGGAGTACTCAGCTTCATATGTTGCGTCTTCAGATCCTTTAAGTCTCTTATCTGCAGACCCACATAATATAAAGGATGAGTTTGTGGTTCCAAACCTAATCACATCTTCATCCACCAAGATGTTTGCACGTCCCTTGGAATTGGAAGGCTTCCAGTGCTTAAGAGGAAGGTGGTTCAGTTTCTTATCCTTGGAGAGGAAAACTAAGGTTATATACATGCTATTGGCATTTTTGGCAGTCTGTATGTAACAAGATGACCTTACTTAGTAATGAGGTGATTATAAATTCTATTACATTTACTTGGCAGACACTGTCTACTGTAGTCACTATGACTCAGAAGACAGAGAAGGGTTCCTGCTAAAGTTTTTTTTCCAGCAGTGGGGTATACACCCCTTGTACATTTGTAGCTGTTGTAACTGTCACCAAGAAAGTCAAATACTGCAGATAGCACAATGGACAACAATTAGGCTGGGGAAAATTCTACATACATACTATTCTTCGGTTTCATGTAGCAAATCGACAAACGCTAGTTGCCTGCCTTTTGAATTTATAGATGCACCCGTGCCCATAGGAATATGCAGATCACACAGCACGTGGCTACCAGCAGTATTTTTCTTATCTTTGTTCTGCCTCCACATCACTGACACCTCTCCATTTTAGGCTATGTTGTTGGGATAGGAATGGGAAAGACCTCATGTTGCAATACACTGACCCTGTGTAGTTAAACTTCCCTGTGTAGTTAAACTGTGTGCATCCTACTTTTATTACATTAGTTCCCATGGGGAAAAAAATGTTCCACTAGCTGTCAAATTCCTAACTGTTACAGTCCTCAGAGACACGTAAGGTGTATCTCATCTTGAGACTGCTATTCTCCCTATGCACAGCACACTGAGACAATGGTGACTGGTTCACTGTTGATAGCCATTACATCAGTGAGGCAGCAGAAGAAATCCCCAGTTCAATGCCAGTTCCTTTATAGCTTTTTTTTTTTTTATTTCCCACTGGGTAAAATCTCCTGACAGAGTGACATCACATTTCCACTGTAATCAGCAAATTAATTTCTTGTTTCTCTTCCAAGACCCTTACTCTCTAAGAACTGAATTTTACTTGAATATTTGGCTTATGAGGAAAGCAGGCTAAACAAGATCTCTTTTGACTTCTAAATCTTCATGTCTGTATGTAGCCACAGCTGAAAGACTCAAACACATCTTCATCCAGATTCATCATTACTTTCTCAATAAGATTGACACTGCATTTGACAAAGTCAGTGTGACAAAGTCACAGAATCACCTGTGACCCTGAAATTCATTTCCAAATGCCACTGCTTTAGCATCATGCATACCTGTAATGTACTTACAAACAAATCCATGAAAGAAAAAAGAAGTTACTTGTCAAAGTGAATTATATTTCTGACAGGTGTTTCCATGTGTGTATTACACATACCAGTCTAGATACCCTTTTACTCAGGCTGCTGTTCTCTTATTCAGGCAAGAAAACCCTGAGTAAGCCCATGCTTCTGATGACCTCTGTGCAGTGCAGGGGGATGATCAAGCCTCATATATACTGTGGAAATATTATTGCAGCAAAAAACATCTGAACTGAGATACCTGTACTCACATGATAAAACATGCATCCTGAAAAGTGACATCACTAACCTCTTTTTCATCCCTGAAGGCATATCTGCTCTACCTGCATTTCTACCTTTGAAGCCTTTTTATTTCTGGTTGATTGATTTACAATGTGGAGTTGATAATAGATTTGCAAGTATCTACGGAATGTATGTTTTTACATGGTTTTCTTGTACGTATTTAATTGAATGAATCAGTTTTTTTAATGACAACTAGATAGAAGTTCTGGGGTTTTTCTCCATTCCTTAATTTGTTTTATTTTTCCATCAAGGGCTTGTCTGTTATTTTAACACTCTTTGATATAACTACTGTATTTTGGGTTTGGTAACAATGTATAAGAATGAATACATAAGAACCATGTTCTGTGATGCTGTGAATTAATGGATTTAAAGCTTGGCTGTAATCAGTTCTATTTTTATTATTTTACCTTGGAGGTCAAGACATTTTCATGACAGAAGAACAAAAGAAATACTACAATGCAATGAAGAAGCTTGGATCCAAGAAACCACAAAAACCTATACCTAGACCATCGGTAAGAATGTGTGCTATTCTTGTATCATCTACTTCTGGGAAGAAATTACAGCAATACATTAAGTATCAAAAAATTTGGCCCTTAGGCCTAAACCATTTTAGAGTTAATTCAAGTTAGCCCTTCATTCTGAACTGAAACATGTACATGGGGGTGGAAGAAGGAAATGGGAGGGAGGAAAAGGATATTCATTACATACAAGATACTATTATCACCTTTTCTTTTTTCTCCCCTCAGAATAAATTGCAAGGTCTGGTGTTTGATATTGTAACAAAGCAAGCATTTGACATCACCATTATGGTCCTTATCTGTCTTAACATGGTCACCATGATGATAGAAACAGATGACCAGGGTGAACTTATGCAAAATATTTTATACTGGATTAACTTGGTCTTTGTTGTCCTTTTCACTGGAGAATGTGTCTTCAAGCTTTTCTCACTCCGTTATTATTACTTCACCATTGGCTGGAATATTTTCGATTTTGTGGTTGTTATTCTGTCAATAGTAGGTAAGAAATTCTTATATTCAAAATGAAATATAGTAAGATGTATTAAATGCTTTATCTCTGTCGAGTTTTGCAGATTAGTGGAAATACTTAATTTTAATTTCTCTTGATTATTTAGGAAATGAAGAGCATACTTTAGAGTAGTAACTTTCTTAATAATTCTATATACATTTTAATACTCTTTTTTTCTTTTCCCTAAGCTGGGGAAAAAAGCTAAAACTACCCATAACAGCTAAAATGTATCTCCAATTATAATTTCCACTAATTCCACAGGTTGAGTTGTTCTTTATTCATACTTTGTTGTGGAAAATGTAATCTATGATAAAATGTTACTCTTTAAATTTTATTTTTATGTTTCACAGGTATGTTTTTAGCTGAGATGATTGAAAAGTACTTTGTGTCCCCCACTTTGTTCAGAGTTGTACGACTTGCCAGAATTGGTCGAATCCTGCGTCTCATTAAAGGCGCTAAGGGAATCCGCACTCTGCTTTTTGCTTTGATGATGTCTCTTCCTGCTTTGTTCAACATTGGTCTGCTGCTGTTCCTCGTCATGTTTATCTATGCGATATTTGGCATGTCCAACTTTGCCTACGTTAAGAGGGAAGCCGGTATAGATGACATGTTCAACTTTGAAACGTTTGGCAACAGCATGATCTGCCTATTTCAAATTACCACCTCTGCTGGCTGGGATGGTTTGCTAGCCCCAATTCTTAACAGTGGGGAGCCAGACTGTGACCCCCATAAAGATCACCCGGGGAGCTCTGTGAAGGGCGACTGCGGCAACCCTTCTGTTGGGATTTTCTTCTTTGTCAGCTACATTATCATATCCTTTCTGGTAGTGGTGAACATGTACATAGCTGTGATTCTGGAGAACTTCAGTGTTGCTACTGAAGAAAGTGCTGAACCCTTGAGTGAGGATGACTTTGAGATGTTCTATGAGGTTTGGGAAAAATATGACCCAGATGCAACACAATTCATAGAATATAGCAAATTGTCTGATTTTGCAGCTTCTCTGGATCCTCCTCTTAATATACCAAAGCCAAACACAATTCAACTTATTGCAATGGATCTGCCCATGGTTAGCGGTGACCGAATTCACTGTCTTGACATCTTGTTTGCTTTCACAAAGCGTGTTTTGGGAGAAAGTGATGAGATGGATGCCCTCCGAATACAGATGGAAGATCGGTTTATGGCAGCCAATCCTTCAAAAGTCTCCTACGAACCAATTACAACCACATTAAAACGAAAACAGGAGGAAGTGTCAGCTACTATCATTCAGCGTGCTTATAGACGTTATCTTTTAAGACAGTCAGTAAAGAAACTTTCATTTATGTACCGGAAAGATGGGCTTGATCTGTTTATCAAAAAAGACATGATTATTGATAAGCTAAGTGAAAATTCGCCTCCAGAGAAAATGGATATGTCTGCATCCACCACATCTCCGCCTTCTTATGATAGCGTAACAAAACCAGAAAAAGAAAAATATGAAGATGACAAATCAGAAAAAGAAGACAAGGGGAAAGACAGAAAAGGAAATAAAAAGTAAAATACATGAAGAGGTTATCTGTGATGAATGTTGACAAGCCTGAGATGACATTTTTATGAATAGCACTCTTATTGGAGGATTATGCCAAAACTACAAGTTTTTACATATTTACCCACTGCTACAGTCAGTGCCTGTACCAAGACAATGACCCTTCACTAGCAAACTCTCAGTCTGTAACATGGAAACAACCTTGCCAGAAGAACAGTTTTTATTATCAGCTGGCATCAATGGAGAGGAGACACAAAATTTCTGCTTGGACTGTAGGAACCCTTAATGGAGTGCAAAATTACCAGTCCTAATAAGTCTGTATTTTTGTGGAATAAGTGTATCCACTGTGTACGTTTCATCTCCTATGTATGTTCTGTGTGTGTCAACTTTTTTCATGATCTCATTTGCTTTAATTCACGTACTCCTATTTGTAATTCTGCTGTGCTGAGAAAAAAGCCAAATACTCTTGCAGAGGAACACAAATGTCAGGAATATGTAATTACAGTATCATAATGTGAACATAGTTCTCTTCAAGCCACTTCTAAAAGCAGAAAAACAAGATTCCAGATTATTGACCCTCAAGATCTAGATCAAATCAACAGCAAATGATAAAAAAGAACAAAGTCTAGATAGAGAATTTATCAGAATACAAAAGAAGGGAGAAATTTACACAGAAAAGAGGTTGGTAGTTTAGTGTCTTGGTTTTAATATATTTATATTTCATAATTTTAGTGATCCGTAATTTATTAAACAGTCCATTTCAGATACAGCGATTTAAATAAATGATGCTACACACACGATTCTTGTTTTGAAAAACAGGAAACTATGAAAAAAACGTAGTTACTTTCACAGTCCAAGGTATCTTGTAATTCCTGAGAGATTTAAACAGTTCTTTTCACAGAAAAGCTGCGAATGCCAAATTGTGCCTATAGGGAATTACTGAAATAAAAGAAGTGGTAGTCTTTTTTCTTTTTTTAACTGTAGACCCTCTAATTCCATGAGTAACTTCCATACTTCATTCCAAAGTCTGTTTCTACACTTCTTATTTGATATTAATATATCCCACTTAGGACAGTAATCAAAGGTGTATGTATAAATTGACAGCAAAGTACCTTTGGGGACAAATACTACCTTAATGTATACCTCAGGCTTAAATTTCCATGCTTTGGAAGTATGGGTCATGCCAGAGACACAAAACATGTACATCAGAGATGGTTTTGGCCCCCCATGGCACTTTAGTCAGGCTTCCACTGTCTGTGATGCAATCTTCTGTAGAAAGCTGAGGTGACTAAAAGGATGTACTTAAATCAGCTTTGTCCTGCATTGTGGTTTAGATTACTTTTTTTATCATCAAGGATGACACTATATATGTAATTAATATATCCTCTGTTATTTAATCAGTTATTTTTACACAGTGGTACCTGTTTGAACAAAGAGACAATGACCTCAGTACTGTATTTATTGTGTCAAATATGTACCCTAGTAAGTGTAGCTTATAACATTTCAATAAATAATACGATATATTCTCTAATACTCCAAATAATTGGGAAGCTTTAACTGATGCATGCTTGCTGCTATTATCCTACAGCTATTAAAGTCTAAGATGGGAAGACATGTGAGTGGTAAAAAGAAAAAAACTATTCGACGAGACCATCATTCCTCATACCAGTAAGCAATAGTTTGCTGCTATTATAGATTTTACTTTGTTTGAGTTTTGTAATCAGCAAATATGCAGTAAAAAAACAGACTACACAGGACAAATATATTGCTTAAAATTTGGGGCTAGAAAAAACCTTTTGTAATATATATCTAATGATCTATTCTTATTATTTTGAAAATAGTTTTATTTTATAACATTTTATACCTATTATAAGGAACTACACATATCTTCATGTTAGTAATTTTTATTGCTGTCTATCTGACACTACTGTTGGGAAACCTAAGATACAATGTAAAGTGGTAATTGCAAGTTTCTGCTAATTATATTAAATGTATTTTAATAAGGAATAATTTTAAAAGAAATAGTACAGTTCTCTTTCTGATCAGTAGACAGGTCTTTGTATGTGAAACAAGATAGAAGGGTTTCTTTTGAAATTATAATCCTGTCTGTCAATTTTCAGGGTAATCTTAGTCATAGAAACATTGCTTTTCCCCAGTGTTAGTCTCACACTGTCTGCTTTTCTTGTTGATTCATACTGCAGTAGAAGCGCTTTAAATATAATTTGTTATTAAAAATCTTTCTTCATGAGAATGAATAGTGAACTTGTGCAATGGACAGTGGAATGCCTTGCATTTCTAAAAGAACTAGAATACAGATGGGCTCCTGCTTTTACAGAAACTATTGGCTCATAGCGTACTGATGAATTGCATGCAGGAGGTTGTTTTACCAAAAATAACTACCTTGCTAACAACCCAAAAGAATAAAGGTAACCTTTTTATGTACTCAGTTTAGTCGTTGCGTTTTTATTGTATGAGGTTTGTACAGATTAACAAGTAATGGTTGGTAAAACTAAGGGGGAACCACTTTAGCGATGAAGCAATGTGTTTTGGACATCTAGATCAAATGTTGCTTTATGACTTAGATCAATATCAACTTGTTACCATGTAGATGAAATGAAATGCTTATGTTGTCCTGACCAGAGAAGGTTTTCTAGAATTCAGAAAAGAATTGCATTCCAACTATGTGGTTTTCTATCAGATTTTTATGAGTTGCCCAGGAAGAGCTCCAGCAGTGTCCTCTGGTGGCCAAGTCCAATGGAGCCTATCTCCACATCCTTGTTGAGTGGATCCAGCAGACACCACTCACCCTGGGGTGGGTGGTCTGGGATCTGTCACCAAAATAGCCCCATGGGGGGATAACAGGGTCACTTTAATCCCATTCCCCCTCAAGAAACCCAAGCTTGCCAAGAGAAGGGAAAAAGACCTGTTGAGGTGTTAATGACCACCCCACAGCTGTCTCCAGGCAACTGATGCCTTACAGTCTCTAACAGGCATGGTTCCTGGCAAGAGGCTACTACATAAAGATGGCAGAATATGGGGCAGGGTGTAGGCAGGTCGACATGTGCATGGAGTAATTGATGCAGTTTTTTCCATTCTCATTTCTGTTGTGAAGAGTAGCTGCTGTATGCTTGGGCTGATAGAGGTAACAGGAAATAAACCCTCAAGTATGCTGTGCTTTGAAGGACAACGTGCTGTGCTTTGAAGGACAACGTATATGTTTTAGTAACTGTATCTGATTTGAATTAAAACTTCTTTCCTTTTTTTAAAATCCAGAATAGTTTTTGTTTTAATATCTTAGTTGCTAGCAATAATTACACAAAGCCATAATGTAAATGCTTTAAAAAAAATCTTGGTCATACTCTTGAATTGCTGTTTAAAGAACAATATTTTTTTTTAAGTCAGTGCTGGATAGGTGCATACTTAACTTAAAAATTCTATGTAGAATAAGCATGAAATGTGTATGTAATAATTTTTCTCTAAACTTGGTAGTGTGCAGAAGTATATGAGTACATTATCATGAGATTTTATAGAAATCATTTTACCCTATAAAATTTCTATCACTGTTAAAATTGTGTTTATTGAAACCATAATCCAACCGATGTCACTCTCCATTTTTGTTGATTCAAGTTCTAAACTTTTTGGACCTTTGCAAAAAGAGTAGTATATTTGCAGATTTCAAGTGTATAATTTGAATAAACTTGTATCCTTTTACATTTCTTTGAAATTATTCCAGTATACCTGGAAATTACTTGCCTTTATGGAAGACACAGTTGACTTGCAGACTTCCTCCTTAACCTGCAGTTATAAAATATATTCATATTTTAATGATATAAGACGGATATTTCAGTGTAATGGGTCACTCATATATCAATATGAAAAGCATTAAGCAAAATTCCTAGAACAGGAGGACACTGCACTCTCCTGCTGTCCTAGTTCACAGAGAATGAAAAATTAATAAGAAAGGCTCCCTTAAATTTTTCTCAGAAATGAGCTTTCTTTACTGTCTCTCCCCCACCCAGGATTGTAAGTGTATTTTATTTTATGAAGGGGCCATCAACTTCCCCACCCTTCCCCCCCCCCCAAAAGAAAACACCCAAACAAAAAAACCAAACAAACCCCAACTATATTAGGGCATAAAAGGAGAAAAATTCTATTTAATTAAACTCTTGGCCTTGCTCAGCTCCGTAACAAAACTGTTTCACTTCTAAGGACAAGACTGCATCTAGCATGCAAAATTAGTTGTATTGTAAAAATACAAAAGGGAAAGTTGGCAGGGGGAAGAGAGAGGATATTGCTCATTTGCTTTGTTCATAAAGCGGCCTGAAATATGTTCTGGGGGTTGTTTATTTTTAAGTAGAAATGTATGTTGCTGAGTACCATAAATATATCAGATTCAGTAAAAGAGCATCTGTCCTCTAGCTACTAGCAGCATGGGATTTCTAATAAATAGTTAAGCCTGACTGCATCCAGTAGAGGGCACAAACACCTGCCAGATGATCACAATACTGGGCCTGGTGTCTTTAGCCACAGAAAAAAATCAAGAAATACAAATTGCAATCACAGGCACAAGGGGATAGCTTATAGCTTTCTAGAGAATTTATAGATTTTATGATTGTTTTGTTCTAGTGAACTAATGAAGCTACAACTTGATAATTCGGCTTGTTGTGTATAGTTTTTTGGTAATACTTTCGTGACTGGAGCAGCAGTTTTTTCTATTTAGGTTCTGTACCCTGTAGGGCATGTGGCCCTATATCCACATTGGTTAAGAACTGCCACACATATCTGAGCTTGCTAAAATATAGCTGAAGGGTGTTGATGCACTAGGGAATTCCACAGACAGCTTTAGCTTTATTTTTTTTAATAGACATTACAAATTTAATTCCACGCTGTACCTGTGAAACAGCCCCAACCTTCTAAAAGAATCACATATGAAAGTATCTGTCTCATTTTCATGGCAAACAGTCATAAACAACACAATATTATTAAAAATTCAGTGTCTTTTTTGGATGTAT